CACACACACACACACACACACACACACACACACACACACACAAAAAACACACAAAAGACATGTATTTGCATGTGGTTTTGATGCTAGTTGTGCCTGAACATGGGCTCTGTGGCTCAAACAGTTGTAAGCGGTTAGCCTCAGAAATAGGAAAGAAAACTAACATGACTGAGTGATTTATTATTTGTGTTTGAATGAGTTAACGGTATTTTGCATGCAGAGTAAAGAGCTGTAGAGCTGATATACTTTGATGAATATTATTAAGTAATACATTAAGTAAAGCAGATTGAGGCCTAAATCTATTGTTCAGAGGAGACACAGATTCACAGAGTTATAAATACATTCTGCCGAACATAAGCTGACATCGTATGTGAAGATTGTAAAGTAGTAATAATAACAATGATACTACAGAAAGATTTCTAAGCGTGTTGGTGACACTGTCTACTGTTTCTTGGATGTAGCAGCTCGGAGTAAGACGAATATTTTCAGGTGCTATTTTGAAAGATTCCCTCTCATTTGTTTACCAACATACTCACTTAATAAAGAACAAATCAGAAGTAGTTCTAACTAGAACCTTCACCTGGGAAAGAGAAGAGCCTGCTGTCCACCGTCCGGGCGATGGACTGCAGTTTGACCACGTCCATGGACTGTCCAATGTGCACCGTGGACGGCATGCTGCCCAGAGTGCCGCGCACAAAGTCTGCCACTTCCTGCACCGTAAACATCTGCAGCAGCTCATCGAAGATCGCCGGGAACGAGTTCAGCAAAGCGGCCTGAGGAGGACGAGGGAGAGAGGAAGAGGATGAGATGTTACAGAGGAGGAGGGCGGGAGTGGATGCTGGGGAAAAATAAAGTTAAAAAGAGAGAGAGAAAGATAAAGGGTAGCGAGGTTAATAATGTGAGTTTCTGTGAGAAATGTGACGATGACTTCAGTCTGCAATAAAACACAGCAGATCAGAGGTGAGTTAAAGTGACAGTGAAACATTGAATTACAAAATGCCCAATGACTGAAAGATTTCATCACACACATAACCAAAGAGCAACAACAGAATGTTGGGTCATTTTACATTTAAATGCTCTATTGTGTCATTCAGTATTATGTTCTGAAATGAAAGTATTGCATTTTGTAATCCAGACGTTCACCAGTTGAGTCTTTTAAAAGAGAAACAGAAGAGCGGGCAAATTTAATTCATCCATTCACAGACAAGAAATCGCAGCAAGTTGAAAAATGAATATTAAATTAGAGAAAGAAAAATTTTTGAAGAAAAGGACAAAAAAACGTTAGATATTTATCTGATATTAAGCAAGTCGTTAAAATTAAAAAAGGCACAGCAACAAATCTGATCGGAGAAGAACACAGCACAAAAAGGACAATGCAGCAGATACGTTATTTAAATTTTAGTGCTCTGAAAAAATGGTTCGGTTGTCTGTTTTCAGTTGTTGGACTCGTAGTTCTCTGGCAGAAGAATAATTGTTATGAAACAATTGATGAGGTTTCAGGGGAAGTGTGCGTTTTCTTGCATCGTAGTTGTGCTAATAGATTATTTTTGCTTGGAAAATTACTTAATCAATTTTCAAAAAAGTTGTTGAGTATCTACTTATTTATTAATCATTTCAGCTCTACATGAGAGTAAATCACCTCAAACTACATTTAATATAAAATATCTATGACCATGACGGCTTTAGCTTGTGACTAGACTTGTTCCCGTGATGGTGCATGACTGGTGAACTTTGATGTTTCAGCATACGTTGCAGGTCATCATCTATCTACCTAAGAGAAACAGAGGAGGTTATTTCTGTGATCTACTCTGTGAATAAGCAGCGACTCGTCAGAGTGTGAAGTGATCTACTACCAGCGACTCTTCAGAGTGTGAAGTGATCTATTAGCAGCGACTCTTCAGAGTGTGAAGTGATCTACTAGCAGCGACTCTTCAGTGTGAAGTGATCTACTACCAGCGACTCTTCAGAGTGTGAAGTGATCTACTAGCAGTGACTCGTCCGTGTGAAGTGATCTATTAGCAGCGACTCGTCAGAGTGTGAAGTGATCTACTAGCAGCGACTCGTCAGAGTGTGAAGCGATCTATTAGCAGCGACTCGTCAGAGTGTGAAGCGATCTACTAGCAGCGACTCGTCAGAGTGTGAAGCGATCTACTAGCAGCGACTCTTCAGAGTGTGAAGTGATCTATTAGCAGCGACTCTTCAGAGTGTGAAGTGATCTACTAGCAGCGACTCGTCAGAGTGTGAAGTGATCTACTAGCAGYRACTCGTCAGAGTGTGAAGTGATCTACTAGCAGCGACTCTTCAGAGTGTGAAGTGATCTATTAGCAGCGACTCTTCAGAGTGTGAAGTGATCTACTATCAGCGACTCGTCAGAGTGTGAAGTGATCTACTAGCAGCGACTCGTCAGAGTGTGACGTGATCTACTAGCAGCGACTCGTCAGAGTGTGAAGTGATCTACCAGCAGCGACTCGTCAGAGTGTGAAGTGATCTACTAGCAGCGACTCGTCAGAGTGTGAAGCGATCTATTAGCAGCGACTCGTCAGAGTGTGAAGCGATCTACTAGCAGCGACTCGTCAGAGTGTGAAGCGATCTACTAGCAGCGACTCTTCAGACTGTGAAGTGATCTATTAGCAGCGACTCTTCAGAGTGTGAAGTGATCTACTAGCAGCGACTCGAGCTGTGACTCTGATTGTAACAAGGTGAATGGTTCAGAAACAGCAATTACAGTTAGAGGACGTTGGGATGAACGTTGGAGGTAAGACTGAGCAGTGAGTGTAGCTGGTGTCAGGGCATGGGGGGGCTGATGCAGGATCACAGCAGTGTGTGTAACTTTAGGCTCTCAAACAGCTAAATTAGGATTCTGGGCTTCACACAGGGAACGGGGTGCTGTGGTATTCATCCCGACGTCTACTTACTGACAGTGGAGACGGCCGCAGAGCGTTGGAGCTCCAGGCCTGAGTGCAGTTGGCTTGCCCGCCGCCAGGAGCCTGTCCTGGGGCGGGGGGCGGGGCTTGGCCCGGGGCGGGGGCTAGTGCTAAGGAGGCGGCAGGCCCGACGCCGGGGGCCTGATTTGGGCCTGGACAAGGCTGGGAGCCCTGTGATGTGTGGGTGTGGAGGGAGGAGACCCAGGAGGAAAAACAGGGAACCGAAGGGTGGAGCAAAGAATTGTGGGAGATTGAAAGAGAAGGTGAAGGAAGGAATCAAGGAAAGGTCCGAGGTACAAGTAGAAAGAGGTACATAAAGGAGATAAGAGTCAGATTAAAGCAACTAAAAGGAGATGGAAAATATTCTAAACTACAAGCAGATGTAATTAAATATTTGGATTAGTCTTGTCTAAACTATAAAGACACAACAAGTACCAGTAGCAGCTGTTAAAGAGGAGATTACTTATATTTTCTTTAAAAGAAATAGAATGATTAAAGAAAATTAAAATCTGTAGAGCGTCTTCTCTTTGTGCGTTTTCTCACCTGTGTGAAAATGAGGGTCTCTGAGTTGCGGCTGTCCAGGCTGAGGACGAAGCGGATCGACTGAAAGAGTTCCTGGACGCCGGTGCGAAACTGCTCCTCCTCCATACCACAAGTAGCCCGAGAGTAAAGGATCCGAGACTGGATGATGAACTTAAACAGATACTCCAAGGCCTGAGGGGGGACGTCAGTTTGTGTGAGAGACAGAAATAAGGAGGGAGAATCAAAGAGAGAGACAAAACAATAAGAAAAAATATAAATATTTAATTTACAAATAAACATCCCCAACATAAGTTTTCATTCTCTTATTCACTGTTTCTATCTTCCTCATTTCATTCCAGGAAGACACAAAAAGTTCAAAAATGTATCAGAAAAATTGGATATATATCCATTATAGACACGTTCAAGAGTGAAATGTTCAAATTTGATCAAACAAAAAGTGCAGTAAAGTCTCATTTCTACTATCTTGTATTTATTGGACACCATCAATATATTTTAATTGTAAATGTTCATTTTAAACTTATGTTGTTTTAACACAACTATCAACTAAAGTTACTCAACTGCTCAATGTCAAAATGTATGAGAAGAAATAATTACCTGTGAGTTAATTAAATGGTCAAATAGATTCAAACACGTCAGTGACGTTTGATTTTTCAAAAATAATAAAAAACAAAACTTCACCTAGATATGCCAATTTTCAGATACATTTGATATTTGTACAGTGCTTTACATATTAAATCCAAACAGAAAACACAAAATAAAAGCTGAGCAGAGAAGGAATTGTTCTTCACTTCCTAAAAGGGTGAATGAGTGCAAACTTTCTACAAGACAGAGACAGGCGGACACAAGCTGAAAGTCGTAAAATACGAATAACTAGAAATACTGCCTCACGGTTGTATGCCTCCAACAACCTTTCAAGTTGCAGTTTCATCCATGTCTGTCCAGACTCGTATTATATACAGCATGCGTTGAAGACTTTGAAGGAATCTATTAAAAGTAGTGCTGGGCAAGTTAACGCATTAATTTCGCGTTAACGCATTCATTAATTAACGCAGACAATTACTTTATCGCACGTTAACGCATTTTTTAAATTTATTATAATCTTTTTTTTTTTTTTTTTTTTAATTGAAAGACAAGAGACAATACATATACATAACAACAAGAGGATGACAAGAACAGTGGGATAAAAGCCAGCAAACATCCTATAGTCAGTAATTTTAGTGCTGAAATTCACGGTAAACGCATTTAAACGGCACAGATCGGGAGCGAGCGAAGGACTTTGAAAGTTAGTGGAAAGATTAACGTGAGACAACATCCGGTTTCTTCAGACGAACATCCGGTTTTCAGAATAAGATGCCAACAAAGTATGAATTATATTCACATTAAGTATAAAACATGCTGCCTGCATCTCGTGAACCAAATGTTATTGCCCTTTTGTTCATATAGCAGTACTTTTAAAATAAATGTGCGCAATACACTACTTTTGAATTCATTATTGAACTTTGCCATAACAATGAGATTAATCGCGATTAAATATTTTAATCGTTGCCCAGCACTAATTAAAAGATATTACGGTTTTGTTTTTTGTCGTAATTAGCAAATTCATTCTTGAGTTATGGACAGAATCCTGGTCACAGTGATCCTGATCTTTGACCACCACATTATAATCAGGTCATCCTCGAGTCCAATCGGAATTCCCTCCAGATGTTCCAGAGATATACCTAAGCCTAAAGACATATTCACCAGTGTGGAGGCGTAAAGATATCTTAGACCTGAACCCACAGCTGCAGCATGTGTCAAAACTATCCTCAATAATTCACACCGTCCACTTCTACATGACAGCGTGACCCATTTGAGACTGATGAATATTTCAAAGTGCTGAGCAGCATTTGTCTGCTGAATGTGGGACATCCTCTACATCTGCTTTGCCTAAAACACTAATGCAGCTGTGAATGTGGTGCGAAATGTTGATGAAGACCTTTGGTTGATTCTTACATAAAACATTGTGCAGATGAATTATTTCATAGATTATCAGGGGAAGCATTGGAATATGAATCAAATCTCTACATCTTCTTGTTGAAGGGAACAAAGGAAACCCTCTTCCAGAGGTAGACTGTGTTTGGTTGGATGGTTGCCCTATGAATGTTAAACGCCTTTAGGAGAATAAACTTCCCTTCCCTCTTTACCAACTGATACATTTTAATGAAACATATTGGGAAAACAACATTGGATAAAAAGCCTAATATGCAATGTTGTAACATATATAAATGTACTTGTTTTTTTCTAGCAGCTGGTGGTTGTATAATGTAAAGTGCAATGAGGGTGAAGGTGTTGTACTGTCCCCTAGTTATTTCCAGTTTATGGGACCGTAATGAATGGACATCAACCACAAACACTATGTAGTAACTAGCAGCATTAACCCGAAACAGCTGCTGTTGTTTAACTCAGGTTAAAATAATCTAACTCATCAGACGGAAGAAAGCGTGTGAAGCAAGAAGAAGTCGTTCATGACGTTTGTGGTGGACCCACAGCTCCATCAGTGGCTCTTACCCTCATTGCTTCCTGTATGTGGTCCTGTCGGACCACCTCTGCAGAGCGGTCCATGTACCACTTCAGACAGCGGATCAGCTCTCTGAAACAACGGTGGTAAGTTATTACACTTGAGAGTTTCTTTTCTTTTTCTTTTGCAGAAGAGACAATAGAGACCATTTCTCTCTGTTATGTTTCAAAATATAAGACTATCTCCTGCTAATATTATACAATAATGTAGTTATTTATGTGCATGTAATGTATTTGAGAGATTGAAGGGCAACACTTCAAACGGACAAAGAGCTCTGACATCAGGGGTGTTGGGAGGATTAAGGAAATTAAATTGAAGGGCAGAAAATGCCATTTTTGAGAAGAATCCATTGTTAAAGACACACATACACGCACACACACACACACACACACACACACCTGCATACCTTTTAAAGTGAGTGTATTCGAGGACAGTTTGGTGTAAAACACTCACTTGTAAGCCAAAGCGCCTGCAAAGTGCTTCTGGATATACGTGTCCATCACCGGCCTGAAGTGGTAATATTTACTGTCCCTGAGGAGGTTTATAATGAACACCTGAGAGAGAGAGACGTTAACATAATAATCAATGATTGGTTCACATTAAGCATCACATGAATATAACATTGGCTTTGATGGCCCGGATCAGTGTGTCTGAGCCTTTTTACAGTGTAACTTAATGTTAGTTAACTAGCAATCAATCCATTGGATTTGCACTTATAGTAATGTGATGCTGCCCTGAGACTGTACTGTTGAGATAAACCTTTTTAAATGTCTGTGTGTCTGTGTGTCTGACTGTGTGCAATATGCTGCAGAAATAAACCAACTGACTGAAGCGGACAACGTGTCACGTCTGTTATTGACTTTCGTTCACAGTTGCTTCTCTGTAGACGCACCAATGACTGGAACACCAGCGGTCCGTATTTGTCCGTGTTGTCGTCCAGGATGGAGAATAATGTGTCCAGAATATCTTGTAGAAACTGTCAAACACACACACAGCGAGTGTTAATGCAGCATACAGGCTTCTGCTCTTATCAGGTCTGACTGATGAAGGATTAAAGAAAGAAAGGAATAACAAACAATCCTTCACCCAAACAGGTACAAAACTCTTCTGTATTTTGTGGATGTAGCATACAAACATCATCATATACTAACTAACTACTAACTCACTACTAACTAACTACGAACTAACTACTGACGGCGTGTGGGGGACTAACGGTCGAATTGTCAAGATAAATGTAAAAAGTAAAGTACAGTCTGCTGTCAAGTAAGAAAAAGTTCACATGAAAGTATTTCTCTTCAGTGTGTGAGACACTAAAGTTAGACGGCCGTCGCATTCTTGGATAACGACCGTCTCCAACTGGGTTTTTTATCAACCAGTGAACAGGAAGTGACCATATCTGGACTGAGGAGGAGTGACGTAGAGACGCCGTATACGTCTCTGGTAGAGACCTGTCAATCAGCGTGTAGCCCCGCCCTAAAGCATCCCCTGCTTTATGGTCTGTTTGACTCTAAATGGACCATAATGTACTAAATGAACATCATGCCGTGTTGAAGAAGACTTGAAACTAGAGATTGAGACCATAAACTCATGTTTACAATGTTTACTGAGGTAATAAATCAAGAGAGAAGTAGAGTCATTTTCTCATAGACGTCTATACAACCAGAGGAGTCGCCCCCTGGTGGACACTAGAGAGAATGCAGATTTAACACATGGTGTGACCTCACCTTGACTATCTCCTCTCCGCTGACGTGTCTTAGCCGGCCAAGGATGTCCATGACCCGGTCCGGATGGGCCTTCCACTTCAGCAGAGCCAGGAGGTCCACTGGAAGACAACAGCAATGTCAACTACCAGAAAAGACACAAACTACAACGTGATATGACACCAGAGAAGCACTGGATCAGACCTCCTATAGTTCCTTAACAACACCAGGGTCCAGAATCCACACACCAACATAGATAACAGCAAAGCTTTACTTGTTTCTTAAGTGTGGAATCAGTCTCTGGAGAGCAGACTGCTGCTGGATCAGCTGCGTACCGTTCTGAGTGAGCTTGGTGGAGGAGAGCTGTGTGGAGATCCAGAAGGTCTCCTTGGCGCTGCGCTGGAAGATGAGGCTGGAGGGGATGCTGGGGCAGCTGTTGAAGTCCTCTTTGCAGCAGGGCAGGCCCAGGTAGAGGGCGTGGTTACTGAAGGTGGTGTTCTCATCGCACTGAGGATGAAGACAGGGACAGAGAGTGGAACATGTTACTATCAAGGATTCTAAAACGATCCCTCTCGCTCTGTGTCCCTACTGGTGACCTCACTAACATCAAGAACATAACGGGAACACGATACAGATGCACATGTTAGGAAGGCTCACGGCCCAGAACCCTGTTATATTAACTTCTTCACTGCGGTTACGTATTGTAAATAACACTACATTTTGACAGTTTAAAACAATGCACAGAGATCTAAACGATTCATTTCACTTCACTATCACAACGGAACAACGTTCTATTCATGGATATTTGTAGAAGTGTCTATATCAGTAATTTAGAATCTAACTGCAAAGTTTGTGCAGAAACTTCCTTTAACACGTTGGTAAAAACCGTCTCCAGTCTGCTGGGACAAAGGTGTGGTGAAGGTCTGTGGCGAGCAGCGAGGAGGCAGGAAGCGAGCGGTAACACAACGAGGACGTCTGACCTTGTAAACGTAGAGTTCGTGGCTCTCGTCTGAAAGAGTGGTTCCATCCTCCCTCATCAGAGGACTGAAGGAGAAACCAAACAGCTTCTTCTCTCCTTTGTCCTTCGCTGTGGAGTCCAGACGAGACCGAACAGGGACAGAGAGACATGAACAGTTAGAGGAGGACGACACAGTGAGGTTAGTGGGAGGCTAACTGTCTCCTGGCTTTGCTTGCTTCAAGAGCCTGGTGATGAAAACAAAGTGAGAGATTGGGTTGATAAGGCAGATATGACATATCAGCTGGTATTGATTTACATTTTACTCGTTAAATACTGTGAAGATAAATGAGACGATGTGGTTAAACTATTTATGTCAAATTACCTCAGCAGCATCTTGTGTAGGAGCCAGGTGTAGCCTTTGTTATTTTTGTGCACTTACGGTAATTGAGTCATGTGGTGTTGACATCAGCTGATCACAGTTTAGTTTTGTGAATGAAGGAGAGGGAGTGAGAGAGGGAGTCTTATTGTTGGTTTATTGCTGTTTAATCAACGCTGTTGATCACCTGTGAAAGTCTTTAGAACATTTTGAATGTGTGATTTTCAGCACAAGTTTGTTTTTCCTGCAAAATAAAACGACAGAACCCAGCCACTGGATCTTTGAGTTATTGACGGTCAGCGGCGCCGCAGGTTTTCCTCCTCTACTCAGCCTCTCGGTGACTAACTTTAAGTTTCAGATAGCCACCTATAGCAACCATGGTTACATTTAAATTATCATATCTTTGCTCAGAAGTCATTGGTCAGTAAATTCTTCTAAAATGAAACAGATCAACAAGCATTAACACGAGCACAAAGCTGCATCCATCCCACACAGCAAGTCTTCTTCTCACGATGTAATTAACTCACGGCTCATTCTGTAATAAAGCGTCTGTAGATATGAAGGAAGCGTGGTTAACCTCCAGCAGATACTCACTGGAGCAGTGCCTGAACTCGAAGCGCAGGTGGGACCCTCTGAAGCGGTCGATGGGGATCGGTAGCTTGATGACTTCGCTCCATCGAGGGCTGTTGTTGTGGTAGAGAACGAAGGAGCGGTGCTCCGGAATGTGGGGTTCACCTGAACCCAGACTGATGCAGTCCTGCAGAGACGGGCACAGTGCTCGAGTCCTTTGCTTTACAAACATCACAAGCAACATGAAAACATCTTCAGACATAAGAGACGCTGGCTTGAAAAAATTGGATTCATGGTCAGAGTTTAGCAGCTTGATGGAGGCAGGAACAGACACTTCTTCTTCCTGTTGGTTTGTTCTCAGAGAAGACAGGAAGTGGATTTCTGTTTCATGGCTCAGTATGGACTCATAGTCCTTCCTTTAGAAATGAGTCCTAAAGCTCAGAATGAGTCAGGATGTTTCCACTTCCTGTCACCTGACTGATCGTCTGGTTTATGAAGGACTTGCTCACGGGTCAAGGACCGTCTCCTGTGAGTTGGTGTTTCTAAAGGATGGAGGCAGCCAGCTTCCCTACCTTCAGGATCTCTCCATCGGCGTACAGAACGTAAACGGTGACTTCGATGTTCTTCTGAACGCTCTTCCCTCCTCTCTCAAAGTCCCCTCGCTCCAGCGTCAGGTACAGGTCGTTACGGACGTCACCTGGAACATCAACAGACAGACAGATAAAAACCTCTCAGTCTGCGTCACGTCACACCTGAGAGATGCTATCAGGGCTCAACGTTAAGCTTCTTCTGAGGGTTGAACTCGCCGGGAGACAAACTTACTTTTCTAAAATAAATAAATAAATTAATGAATAAATAAATAAATAAATTAATGAATAAATAAATAAATAAAAAAACAGAGATTGGAAAGTTTATCCTAAATAGCCGTGGTTATTTGCAGAAAAACACACAATTCTAATGATTAGGAAATAAATGATTGTATTTTTCTTTAAATATTTGCTTCAATAAATTCAATTAACATTATTATTTTACTGAAGTATAATAATGTGTTTAGAGCTCGTGTTAGAAGTTAAACAGCTCATAATTCATCTCTAATATCTATTTTATATTCATGTGAAAACATCTCCTTCACACTACTGGATTTATTCTAGTTCATCACCAAAACTACATTTTACAGAACGCATCATAATGAGCCTCGTACGTTAGCTGTTAGCTCATCTATCAGCAGGACTGAGCTACAGAGGGATCAGTGCTGTTGGTCACTGTGATTCATCTGAACAGTATGATGGGATGAATAATAATTTAATATAACGTTAGCTCTGTTATTAGCCAAGCAGGCCTGTGCTGCTAACAGGCTGCTGGCAAGAGGAGAGCTACGCTAACGTTAAATAATGATTTCAACGGGTTTTTTGTTGAAACATTTTCAGGTATCGGCGACTAAAAAGCATTAATGCATTAAAGCATTGATCTGACTGAATATCTGTTTTGTGCCTCGTTGGACGACTGCATGAGTCATCCCACTCGCCCCAACACAGAGTTTAATATGGAATTATGAAGCTAACATGCCAATGATCTGTGTCACCTTCTGGATATCTGATGTATAAAACACAGACGGAGGCTCTGACATACGAGAGTAATGACCCGCGTGAACGTGGTTGGATCCATTCATCACCTCAGATCGTCCCGTTAACGGGTCGAGATGGGAGTTCAATACTCGCTCCATCACTGCCGAGGGAGGCTGTGTGTGTGTGTGTGTGTGTGTGTGACATGCATTGTTAATGTGTGTGTGAAAAACACTCCTGCATGTTGTACGTGTTGCTGTTTCGGTTTTAGAGGACAGTTTGAGGGTTTCTCTCTCTCTCTGAGATTCGTTGATTACACAGAACACGTAACGTATCTTTGAGTGATGTCATCATTCTGTATTTAACAGCTATGAGACTTTGTGCTTCTGTTTATCTGAATATGCTTATAGCTCTTAATTATTGCAACCAACAGTCTAAGGCAACTCTTTATTTTAATAAGCGTTATTTAATAGGTAATAAGGCCGTTATAAGCTTATTAAGTGTTAATAATAGCATTATAACATGTTTATTGTTAGATTATAAGCACTCTTAAGGAACTTAACAGTTTATAAACTGCTAAAGAAGAAGAATAAAAGCTTCACGAGTTCCTTAAAATAGTTTATAACAGCATTAGAAACACATTTATAGTTTAACTTAACTTACCTTTTAAACCATTGTTAAACATTTACAACGCATGTTTTTGCTTTATTAAGATTAATACATACTTTATCATGCAGTTATTAGCAGTACTATGCTAATAAATGAAAACGTAACTTATTAAGGTAAACAAATCCTTTTTTATGCACTTATTAACAGTTAACTCTTAACCTTAATAATGCAGAGTTCCCGCTTTAGCAGAAAGCATAATTAACTGCTAATAAATGAATTGTAAAGTACGTATTAATCTCAACAAAACAATGAAAAAGCTGAAGGCTTAACAATGATGTAATCGGTATGTTAGTTAAACTCAATGTTTCTGTAAACTTATTATGAACTATTTAGTCTTTTATTAACGTTATTAAACAGCCTATAAACACATGTCTTATAAGAAGTTATTAATAACAATAAACATGTTTATAATGCTGTTATAAACATGTATATAGACTTATTAACATATTATAATATGAATATGTTTATACAGACTTATAAGGGCCTTATTAACTATTTAATAATAAAAAACACTGACAAGTCATTTATTTTATTATTTATTTTACAGAAGCTGCAAAATGCAAAACTGCACGCCCAGATAAAGACTCGCGATGCACAAACACCTGAAGGAGGATTAAAGGTAGGTTGTAGTATTATAATGATACGAGGGAGGAAACACGTCTTCATCATCGTTCACTGGTTTAGAGGCTGAGAGCGTTCAGGTGAAGTCATCATCGTTAAGGTTCATTAATCCAGAAACACATGAAGACTAAACTAATGATTCAGACTGAAACTCTCTCACATCTGCCTGTAAAGAACATTGGTGCTGTTATAGTTATTAATACCAAAGCAGAGAGATTATATATACGTAGTGGAGACTCGCTACCTGTGGCCGACTCACCTGGCATGATGACATCAGGGAAGCCCAGTTTACGCGTCATGGAGACTCCTCTGCTGAAGATCAGAGGGTTCTCTCTGCGGACCGCCTCCATGTCACCTCTCAGCAGCTGGAGAGAGATGATCAGACCTGAGGGGGGGAGGGAGGGAGAGAGGAAGAGAGAGAGGGAGAGAGACAGAGAGGGAGAGGGAGAGAGACAGAGAGGGAGGGAGAGAGACAGAGAGGGAGAGAGACAGAGAGGGAGGGAGAGAGAGGGAGAGAGGGAGAGGGAGAGAGACAGAGAGGGAGAGGGAGAGAGACAGAGAGGGAGGGAGAGAGAGGGAGAGAGACAGAGAGGGAGAGGGAGAGAGACAGAGAGGGAGAGGGAGAGAGACAGAGAGGGAGAGGGAGAGACAGAGATGGAGGGAGAGAGACAGAGAGGGAGAGGGAGAGACAGAGAGGGAGAGAGAGAGGGAGAGATAATTCAGAGGTGAGCAGCACAGAGGTGGAAGTTAAACAGGATGTTGTTCATTCTGAACTCATCTATTGTCTGTTCATCCTCAGAGATCTTCTTCTCTTTCTCTCTCTGATTATGTTTTTTCTCTGTTAGTTTGTTGATGGAATACAATGACTTTGGTTTGGTGATCGGTGACAATAAAGATACTGCAACAATAATAACATTATTTAAAAATAGAAAATATGAAAATGTCCAACAGAATATGTTAAACAGACAAGTTAAGAGTACGTTAACAGAAGTGTGTTATTACAGCGTCATGTGTGAATGTGATGAAAGACTCGATTATTTATTCATGTGTTGTTGTTTTAGTGAACTCAGAGCACAGACTCACCTTCTACCACTAGAGGGCAGTATACGTGTATTTAAACCATAGATGTAGTCATATTTACCTTCATTCATTATTAACAAAAATGTTTTTGGTTTAAAACAAAAGAAGAATAAAACCCATGATATTTCTGTATTTTTGTTTTTCCGATTAAACGGTAATCAGACTATCAAAGCGTACACGGGCCGAGGTTAAAGCGGTCCTACCGTAGTTGGTGCTGGGAGCCGTGTACTTGGTGCTGGACTTGCGGATGATGTTGTCATGGATCTGGTACCATTCGTTCTCATTGTTGCACCTGGTGAAATTAAAATACGGGAAGAAGGTTCAGAAATAGTGATTCAATCATCAAGTAGACCCAGGACGTACTGCTGGACCCGCTGAGGGAAGGCGGCACGGGAGAACCAGAACCAGGACTGAGAGGGGCAGACTGTCAGACCTGCTGCAGTAACATGAGAGGGTTTCTAAAGAGAGTCTGGTGCTCAGAGACACTACCACTTTAGTCCACAGGGGGCGACAGAACCAACACAACATGAAACTTGCTTGTAGTAACTTAAACAAATCAGATGAGTAGAGGAGAGTTGTTGTCGTGGTTGTTGTTGTTATTTAGTCGCTGGTAAACGTGAAGAGTCGACTCGTCGTACGACCGCAGAAAGATTTAGTTTAGTTCAACAGTTTACAGTCACGTCAACATCACGAAGAGGAGAACAGAGAGGAAGAGGAGCCGCCTCTTCCTCTCTGTTCAGCTCAGGCTGCTGTGAGGCAACACACACACACACAGACACACACACACACACACACACACACACACACACACAGACACACACACACACAGACACAGACAGACACAGACACACACACACACACACACAGACACACACAGACACACACACACACACACACACACATACAGAGACACACACACACACACACACACAGACAGAGACACATACACACACACACAAACACACACACACACAGAGTTACATCATGTTGAGTCTGTGAGCACCAGAGGGCTCCTACAGGCAAGTCTTCAGCCGAAAGGGATTCCCTAATGTCTGCCGTCAGCTGTGTGTGTGTGTGTGTGTGCGCGTGTGTGTGTGTGTGTGTGTGTGTGCGTGTGTGCGCGCGTGTGTGTGTGTGTGTGTGTGTGTGTGTGTGTCAGAGAGAAGAATATGCTGATGGCGTTACAAGACTGCAGAGACAAAACAGTGGAGCATCTGTAGTCTGTATGTCTCCATCTCTGCTCTCATTTACATAATTCAATGTCAGAGAGAGACAGAGAATAATAACACACACACACACACACACACACACACACACACATATATATGTACCCTATATATTATATATACAGTATATATATATATATATATTTATTATCTCTCCTTATTTAACCTTCTGGTCGTCGTCCCTCTTTGACTCTTTACATTCATTTTAACGAGCCTATTTTCCTCTGACAATAACAATAACATGTTCTTCTGAAAACAAGACGTCATCACAGATCACTGTGTGTGTGTGTGTGTGTGCGTGTGTGTGCGTGTCTCTGTGTGTGTGTGTGTGTTGGAGCCACCTACGTGTAGACCTTGAGGACGAAGTCTTTCTCCTCTTTGAGCTCTGCGATGGTCTGCAGCACGTCGCTCATGGCGAGGACGGCACAGCCGTACGGCCGGCGGTACTGAACGTGAGGAGGACCCTTCTTACTGTCGTTCAACAGCATCCGACCTGCAGCGGGACAGTGTGTGTGTGTGTGTGTGCGTGCATGTGTGTGTGTGTGACACAACATTCAATCAGCAGCATGAAAACATCAAACTGTTTCTGAGTTTGGAAGCAAAACAGAAACACATGAGAGGAGCAGAAGCTGTAAATATTTGCTGCTAGTTATTTTTGACTTGTCGTTATTCATCTTTAATCTTCTTTTGTCCTGTTTGATTGAGGTTCCTTCCTTTATGAATCCTGACTCCGGTCTCACCTGTTCTGATCACCTGGGAGACGATGTAGAGGTCTCTCTTCATGTCTTTGTTGCTCAGGTCCTGCAGAGGAAACAAACAGGAAGTCTTAATGAGAGAAGATTTACTGGAGATTTCTCTTTTGATTTAAATACGTGCTCAAAGCACAGAAACAGTTTGAAGAAGCAACTTTATCCAACATTCATCACACCGTTCATCTAACAGAGGATATCTGAGACGGTGACGCTGAAGAGGAGCCTCACAAACGAGCAGGATGTTCTGCAGAACTACAGGAGCTCACAGGTTCCTCTGGCTCAGAGTGAAAGAACCTTTTATCTTCATGTTCTGATTCTGACGGCATGTTAAACCGTCACAGCTCATCTCTGCTCGCCGTCGTCCTCTTACACTGCTGCTCTAAGCTGCAGGTCTGTCCACTTGTGTCCAGATGCATTCTGGTCTACGGCCGCTGATATCGCCTCATGGAAGTAAAGGAGACGTTCCAGAATAGTTCTGCATTTGGGATTTGTTCTGGAGATGTCAGGCTACCAAAGCAGCATCAGAGTCGTAATATTGGAACAACCTGAAGAGAAGAGCTCTGGTGGAACAGCTCACGCCACAGTAACGCATGTCACAGGTTTGATTCCCAGTCTCTGTCTCTACAACTGTCCCATAAACATGTAAAACCCTGAAGAAGACGCTTATCGTGCTGAAGAAGA